GGTCGAGTTCGATGGGGAATAAAAATAAGGTTCAGATTAAGTGTGAATCCTTTTGAATTGGTGGAGGATAATATGATCCAGCAAAGTACCCAAGGTAGTAAGTACCGAACTAACCGGGTTGCAAACTGTTTCAATATCCAAAGAAGATGGTGACATGATCTAAAGAAAGCATATTCTGCATAAGTGGTGTCATGGGAATGAAGGCGGTGCTACTAATGAGGGGTATGATGACATCATTTTCGAAGGGCTAACAATAAATTTGCCAGCAACCACAATGGCTGATCATGAAAAAGGAATCATATATACTCCTTTTGATATTTGTCCAGATTCGAACATGAATTTTTCTAAAGAGGGGGAGTATGATACGATCCTAACAATCTCCAAGATGAAAAATTGAAAGAAACAAAAGAGCGTAATTATAAATAAGTTATTCGAGATGGACTTGAAATGCCCAAAAGAGATGAAAATCTACGAGACAAAGGAGGTAACTCATTTTCCCAATCTCATAAATTCATGACACTAAATTCTTTTTGTGTTTGGATTTTGGTCATGTTCCTTCAGAGTGTTTGAAAAAACTATTCATGAATTTATGGCCGGACTACGAGCAAATCAAGTGAACGGTGATCCTTGCCATCATCTTAAAAGGATGATACTCGTAAAGTTTTGGAGAATGAGAACAGTGCAGCCGATTTAGGAAGTGATGATGTGCTAGTTGAACAAGAGATAACTGAGAATGTTGATGTCGGGTTCGATGGGGAATAAAAATAAGGTTTGGATTCGTGGCGAATCCTTTTGAAGTGGTGGAGGATGATATCATCACGAAAAGTACGCGATATAGTACTAAGCTAACCGGATTGCAATTTTTTTCAATAGCCGAAGAATATGGCTACATGATGCAAATAAAGAATATTTTGCATAACTGGTATCATGGGGATGAAGGCAATTCTACTAATGAGGGATGTGATGACATCTTCTTCGAAGGGCTAACAAAGAATTTGCCAGCAATCACAATGGCTGGTCACGAACAAGGACTTATATATACTCATTTTGATACTTGTCCGGATTTGAGGACGAATCATTTTAAACAGGGGAATATGATACGATCCTCACAAGCACCAAGATGGAGAATTGGATAAAAAGAAAGCGCACGATTTGAGTTGGACTTGAAAAGCCCAAAAGTGAGAAAAATCTACGAGACAAAAGAGGTAACTCATTTTCCCAATCTCATTCCATTCATAATATTAAATGCTTTTGGTGTTTGGATTTTGGTCATATTCTTTCAGAGTGTTTGAGAAAACCATTCATGAATTTGTTGTCGGACTCCGAGGTAATAAAGAGAAATGAAGATCCTTACCATCACCTGAAAAGGATGATACTCGTATAATTTTGGAGAATGAGAACATTGCAGCCAATTTAAGAAGTGATGATGCCCTAATTGAAGAAGAAGTAACTCAGAATGTTGAGGTCGAGTTCGATGGGGAAGAAAAACAAGGTTCGGACTAATGGAGTATCGTTTTGAAGTTGTGGATAATGATATGATCCAGCAAAGTACCCAAGGTAGTACCGAGTTAACCGGATTGAAAACTCTCAATAGCTGAAGAAGATGGTGACACGATGCAAAAAAAGAATATTCTACATAAGTGGTGTCATGGCGATGAAGGCGGTACTACTAATGAGGGATGGGATGACATCTTCTGCGAAGGGCTAACAATGAATTTACCAGCAATCACAATGGCTGATCATAAACAAGGACTCATATATGCTCTTATTGATATTTTTCCTAATTCGAGGACGAATCCTTTTACAGAAATGGAGTATGTTACGATCCTCAAAAGCTCCAAGATGAAAAATTGAAAGAAACGAAAGCGCGTGAAATTAAATAAGTTATTCGAGCTGGACTTGATAATCCTAAAAGAGAGGAAATTCTACGAGACGAAATGAGGTAACTTGTTTTCCCAATCTCATTTAGTTCATGATACTAAATGCTTTTGGTGTATGGATTTTGGTCAGGATCCTTCAGAGTGTTTGAACAAACGATTCATGAATTTGTTGTCGGACTACAAGGAAATCTAGAGAAAGGGTGATCCTTACCATCACTTGAAAAGAATGATACTCGTACAGTTTTGGAGAATGAGAACATTGCGGCCGATTTAGGAAATGATGATGCGCTAGTTGAAGAAAAAGTATCTGGGTATGTTGAGGTCGAGTTCAATGGGGAAGAAAAAGAAGACAAGGATTTGAGGGCGAATAATTTTGAAGTGGTGGAGGATGATATGATCCAACATAATACCCGAGTTAGTACCGAACTAACAGGATTGCAAACTCTTAACAGCCGAAGAAGATGGTGACATGATGCAAAGAAAGAATATTCTGTATAATTGGTGTCATGAGGATGAAGGCAGTTCTATTAATGATGGATGGCTGATCATGAACAAGGACTCATATATACTCCTTTTGATATTTGTCTGGATTCGAACACGAATGTTTATAAAGAGGGAGAGTATGATACATTCTCACAAGTTCCAAGATGTATAATTGAAAGAAACGAAAGCGCGTGATTTAAATAAGTCATTCGAGCAGGACTTGAAAAGCCCAAAAGAGAGGAAATTCTACTAGACAAAGGAGGTAACTCATTTTTCCAATCTCATTCAACTCATGATACTAAATTCTTTTGGTGTGTGGATTTTTGTCATATTCCTTCAGAGTGTTTGAACAAACGATGCATGAATTTGTGGTCGGATTACGAGGAAATGAAGAAAAAGGGTGATCCTTACCATCACCTGAAAAGGATGATACTCGTAATGTTTTGGAGAGTGAGAACATTACAGCTCATTTAGGAAGTATGATGCACTAGTTGAAAACAAAGTAACAGAGAATGTTGAGGTCGAGTTTGATGGGAAGAAAAAAAAGGTTTGGATTCCAGGACGAATCGTTTTGAAGTGGTGGAGGAAGATATGATCCAACAAAGCACATAATGTAGTACCGAGCTAACCGGATTGCAAAACGCTTTCAATAGCGGAAGAAGATGGTGACAAGATGCAAATAAAGAACATTCTGCATAATTGGTGTCATGGGGATGAAGGCGGTTCTACTAATGAGGGATGTGACGACATCTTCTTCGAAGGGCTAACAATGAATTTGCCAGCAGCAATCACAATGGCTGATTATGAACAAGGACTAATATATACTCCTTTTGATATTTGTCTGGATTCGAGGACGAGTCATTTTAAATAGGGTGAGTATGATACGATCCTCACAAGCTTCAAGATGAAGACTTGGAAGAAACGAAAGCGCATGAATTGAAATAAGTTATTCAAGCTGGACTTGAAATGCCGAGAAGAGAGGAAATTCTAAGAGGCAAAGGGGGTAACCCATTTTCCCTATATGATTCAGTTCATGATACTAAATGCTTTTGGTGTTTGGATTTGTGTCACCTTCTTTCAGAGTGTTTGAACAAACCATTTATGAATTGTGGTCGGACTACGAGGAATGAAGTGAAAGGATGATCCCTACCATCACCAGAAAAGGATGATACTCGTAATGTTTTGGAGAATGTGAACATTACAGCCGATTTAGGAATTGATGATGCGCTAGTTGAAGAAGTAACTGAGAATGTTGAGTTCGAGTTCGACGGGGAAGAAAAAGAAGTTTCGGATTCGAGGGCTGATCTTTTTGAAGTGGTGGAGGATGATACATCTTGCAAAGTACCCGAGGTAGTACCGAGCTAACCGGATTGCAAATCCTTTCAATAGCCGAAGAAGATAGTTACATAATGCAAAGAAATAAGATTCTGCATAATTGGAGTCATGCAAAGAACATTAATGGAGTTGCATACCATCCGTCGTACCCATTATTTGCATCGTGCTCAGATGATTGCACAGCAAACGTTTTCCATGGCATGGTTTATTCTGATCTTAACACGAACCCGTTTCTCGTTCTGCTCAATATTCTTCGAGGCCATTCCAGTGGTGTTGATAAACGAGGTAATTTAATTACTCCTTTTCATCTTCGCCTTTCGTTTATGATATAATATAATAATCTTGTTTTGTGATGGTATGATTCTTTGCAGGAGTTATGGACTGCAAGTTCCATCCGAGACAACCGTGGTTGTTCACTCCGATTCTTTGATCAAGCTCTATTGTCACTAAATTAAATCCCTTTATAAAATTTATTCAATTTATCTTATACCACTTTTCTTATGTAGTAGCAGAAATTAAGAATCCTCTTCTAGCTTCTGCCCGTTTATTTAAATTTGGTGTCGCAGAATACAAGCCATCGTCTTATTGTTATCGTTAATTAGCTGACAAATCTTTATTTTTCTTGTCTCGTCAATTTTGCCTTGCTCTTACGTAAACATCGAACCATGCTTTGACAGTTTGTTCTTGTACATGGAAATCCCAAGTCAAATAGTATGCATAATTACAAATTTTGATGGATATCTAAGTTTACATGGAGCAACAATCAAATTGGCGAGCAGCGAATACGGGAAAGGTTGGATCTTAGCATTTATCCTCAGACCATAAACCGCTATTATTAGAATTTAAAGAGCCCATTAAACACCAAAGAAGATTCATTTTTCAACGGACGTTTTATTAAAATTGTCAGCGACGTTTGGAAGATTCGTTTGGATCTGGAAATCCAAACTTCAAGAAATGTTGGTCTGAGGAGATTTACGATGATTGCCATTATATACTTGCTATTAAATTTGCCTGGAAACTGACGGAAAAATAAGACATTACGGGCAAAATATTATGCAGCGTAAATATTGGAAATTGTGGCAGCAAATTTCCTTTTTTCCACATGCCTTTCGTCGCAAATTATGAAAAAAATAGGCCGCATTTTCAAATCTTGAAAGCAATTTCCAGGTGGAATGTAGGAAGAGGGCTTATCGATGCTCTGTCTATAAACGATGCCCTGTTCCTCAATGGACTAGACAATCCATAAGCATTAAGCCTAATCGTCTAACAAAATGTGAAATGATAATACGAGCATCAACTTATGATGAACTAAATTCGAATAGGGTATTCATCCAATTACATCTCATTGTCAAATAAATCAAAATTACAAATCAATAATAACCTGCACATCACAAGAATTACGTAATAAAATAAAATCAAAACGAATTGCAACAATGCCAATTCAACCAAGGGTAAAATCGGGAAGCAAGGGAGAAAATAATATCTTAATATACTTGTACCAGATCCACTGCCGTTCTCAATATTCCGAAAATAGTCACTAAAATCAATATACACTCGATCCGGTGCTTTCTATAACTCAGGTTTCCGAACATTCCCAACTTTTAAATTACGCGACTTTCGAGTTGCCTATACTTTGTTTAACATATATATTTAATAATACTTAAGTCGATGCTCAAAATTTACCTCCTCCTTCGACTAAGAGGCAGCTGTTGATGCCGGTTTTTGGCCGAGAGAGCCAAAAGAGCTCCGAAACCAGCAACCGCTGCGACTCCGACGACGAGGGAAGGCAAATGAATAGCCGATGGAGTAGTCTTGTTCATAATATCCCACTGCAGCTTAACATCGTCGGGGTGCCATAAACTCAAGTGCACTGCCAATGTCATTCTGAGGTCAGCATCGCCTCGTGTCTCGATTACGTTCAGACATACGGGGCATGAAACTTTTGAGCTGTCTCCGTTCGTCACTGTTGTCACTCTCCCTGCTACAGCTATAGCTTTGTCCCTCAACGATGTCGGAGTGTGGGGAGAAAACTGTAATGGTCGATTTATACTATTAAGGCCCCGTTTGGTTGGCAAGATAAGATTAGCCAAGATAAGATTAAATAGTCTAATGAAACCCAATTATTTTATTTGAGCTCGCGACGTCCAACAAAAAGACACACTAGAAGGCAAGATAAGCCATGATTACATAATTTTGGCGGGTCGACCCAGCAATTTATTGGGATACCAAACATCAAATTAAGTCCAACTATTTAGTTAATCTTGGCTTATCTTGGCAACCAAACGGGGCCGGCCTACGTGAATAAAGAAGTGTAATAATCGGACATTGAAACCAGATAAGGAGAAATTAGAAATAGACTATATATAGCATACCGTCATCAAATTACGAAACCGCAACCAAGTTGCTCTCAGAAAACTCGTCATTTGACTTTTAAGTAGTGTTCTTCTACCTGGCAGGAAATTCTAAGTTATATTCAATTAAAAAATCGAATCTCGCAAATTAGCAGCGAATAATAAGTTGTTTACTAATGCAAAAACTGCTAGATCGCTCTTTAGTAGCAATTAGAGACCATAAACTAAATACAGCAACTTAAAATTACGGGAATTTACTGTTTACCAAATGAATGGCTTAAACCATTGTGAAATTTCATGAAATTACACGATGAATTTAATTTTTTTCTCCAGTCTATGAAAATACAGCAACTTAAATTTTTTTCATGAAATTTCAGTGGACATTCATTATTTCGAGAACTATTGATTGGGCTATTCGAGTTTCCGTTGCAATAAAAACACTTCCACAAAAAAAAAAATTAATAAACCAACGAAGACATATTTATTCAAATACGTTTTCGGTTGTGCGATTTGGGCTTTACTCCGACATTCAACTGAATAATTCATTAATTTTTTTTCCTAAATACAATGCTTAGACCTAGACCAGTACGAAGAGCTTAAATCGCATATCTTAAACACATACGCAGAACGAAGCAAGAAAACAATCGGAACGAAACCAACGGGTCGGGCAATGAATGCATCAAATTCTCGACAAAACAAAATTATCCGATTTCACATAGTAATGTTACTTTCAATAATAGTCTTAACTACAGCAACCCAATTGTGTCGAATTCAATTATCATTAAAAAGAAAATTAACTAAATTCTTCTTAATTTAGTACTTAAAATCGAAATCGACCCCAATTTTCTATATTCTAACTGCACAACCTGAGGCGATGATGAGCTCAGCGGAAAAGTTTTTATAAACAATTACACATTATAACTATAAAGAAGAAAACGAAAAATAAAAAAAAAACCAACAAGTTTCTATATATATATATATATATATATATATATATATATATATATATATATATATATATACACATATATATATACATAAAAAAACAAAGAGGTATGTATGATGATCGGAAATAACTTACGTTTAGAGAGAGAAGATTGGGTTGTAGAGAGAAGAAAAGTTGGGTAAGCTGAAAGCAGGGGGGGTTAGGTTATATGTAGCTGAGAGGAGAGGGAGCGGCTTTTCAAATTTATATTATAAACCCAAACACGCCAAGAGTCTCTTTGGTTCTAAAAAGGTTTTTTTTACTTTTCTTTTTTTTTGTTTTTTTTTTAATATAATGTAGGTAATGTTCGTGTTAATCATGGTTTTCACATCTTAATTTTATGGTACATTGTTTTGCTCCAAATCTCATATTGTATGGAAAAATATTTAACCAACTATTAAAATAGTAAAATATATTTACACAGTAAAACTATTATAACATGTAGAATATAGGGTATGTTTGTTTTTGTTTTCAAATCCCTTTCCAAATTCTATGCTATTTATAAATTTGAGATCGTGTTTATTTTAGAAATTTTACTTGAAAAACACATATTTTTCTATTAAAATTTCTAATGAAAATACACTATTTATATTTTTTCCAACTTTCAAATTTATTAATACCTACTAATCTATATATTTTATTCATTTAACTCATGTTCCACTCGTATTCATCTCGAACCATTAATATATATACACTCTCTCCTCATTAATATTCACACTATCTCTCCTTCAATTCCCTTCTCCTCATTAAAATCCGCATTCTCTCTCCCCTCCTATTGATCTCTCCTCTTTAATCTTATAATAACAATAATAATAACTACCACTACCACCATCATCACAATCATATTCAATCATATATATTCTACTTTTGCACATATTTCGTATACAAAACACACAACCAAACATAACAAAATAAATATCAATTCAAGTTTCAACATCACACTATAAAATATGGCAAAAATTACAATTGTTGATCAAATAATATCGTTGAAGTTCAAATTTGAATCCGTCTTTCTAAAAGTAATCTATCACTCGTAATCTTCAAGATCAATATAACTTACATCACCTCATCCATCAATTTCAAACGATTGCCTTCATCTTCATCAATCTCTTCAACTTCATCAACTCCTACTTTGACATATAAACTCCATCAATCTCTCCAACTTTATCAAGAAATCTGGATAGGGCCCATAAATTCAGATTCTCATCACTCCAAAAGACTACAGTTGCTATGCGAATGTTGACTTATGCAAACTCCGGTGATTCAATTGACAAAACTTTCCACATGGTAGAGACAACCGAAACTGAGGCCTTGCGCGAATTTTGCAAACTAATTTCGCGACTTTAAAAAAATGAGTACCTTCGTGCCCCGACAAATGTATATCTAACAAGGCTTCTTGACAAAACAGAACGACACGGGCAGTGGCATATCAAGCATGGTCCAAGGGTGTGCAGTTGCACACCATTGGATTTAAAAAATAAATTATATATAATAGTTTTGGGATTTTTTGATATTTATAACTAATGGAGGGTTAAACTGAAATTTAATAAAAAGTAATAAAACCTTACCTAGAGGCCAGAATTCCAGAAGGCTTTTTATTCCTCTATTTTGTTAGGATAGCAGACTAAAAGTCTTGCTTTTAGCTACATAATTTTATTATTGAATTAATAAAATTGTATATTATCATTTTATGAGAATCTACACTAGGGTATTCAACGCATTTAATTGATTGTTTGTCAATTAATTAAAAATTTAAGTATAATATTCTAATAGTATTCGAGATGGTGTGCTACGGCGCACATAAAGATCATTTCGAAAGTTCGTTTAGAATATAAAAATAAACGTTGACAATCTAGATGAAAATGGATTAACCATTGGTAAAAGATTGTAGCACAATATTTAAGTGATTGGTCCCGACATGTGTTGAACCGGACAAAGTGAAATAATTATTTCATACAATTCATAAATGAAATTGTATTAATTCTAGTTGACAGTAAATTTCTTACTCTCTTAATCCCTAGATAATTAACGTACACATTTAATTGATTATCTCTACTTTGATGTCACAATGGGAGAGATTCATATATAAAGTCAAATGGCCCCCGGTGCGTTAGTTAGAGACATTAAGAATTAATAGGTGGAAATTAATAATCGAAAGGAATCCCCATCTCTGAAATATGGGATTGATAATAACCCTTGAGTGACTTATAAGATTTTTTTATACCAAGTCCTGGCCAGGTGGATTTCGTGTCCGGCATACTCAAATAAGTTAAGCGGGTAAGACTCATGAAAAGAAACCATTTAATTTATTTAGCAGTGAATAAATTATTTGGTGGTTAAAAGATTTCTTAATGTGGGGAGAATCTAAGTAATGATCGACCGGAGCTCGAACGTAATATTTGAGAATATAAACGGGAGTTCAATAATTATTTGGTAGTGGAAAATAAGTAATTATGTAATGATTAATTAAATGAATTTATTTTAAGAGTTTGGATTTAATTAATTATTAGTTGCCTGATTTATATTTTCTACTTTAGTCCATATTGTAGCCCAATGAATTATCTAATTAATCGAGAAAATAAAGTTCAACCAATATTATATATTGGAATTAATGTAGCCGAAATTTAAATCCCCATTGGACTGCTTTCGACTATATAGAGTTATAGAAGGAGTGTGATTTGTTTCCATGTAATCCTCTCTATGTGTGACTCTAATTCCTTGTGCAATTATGTGAGTTTTTTTGGTTCTCTAGCAATGTTAAATAATATTATTGGATGTTCTTGTAAACGTCAAGAGTTGCTTCGGGAGAAACAATTTGAAAACTGTGCGAAAAAATTTATTTTGATAATTTCGTAGCGGGTAGTGGTTTGAATCAAGAAGCCACTTTAAAAAGGTTGGGAGATAAACGTTGGAATTCATATTATTTCACAATCTTGAGTATGATTAAGTTGTTCTCGTCGGTGGTTGATGTACTAGAATATTTAACAAATAATGGTGATGATGTTGCTCATTGTGGACAAGCCACAATTTTTTTTAAGAAGTATTGAGTGTTTTGAGTTTGCCTTTGTTTTGCACTTAATGAGATCAGTCTTGGGAATCACTTGATTTATCACAAGCATTGCAGAAAAAAAGACCAAGACATTGCTAATGCCATGAAGCTTGTAACTGTTGCTAAAGATCGACTACAAAAATTGAGAGAATATGGGTGGGGCAAATTGTTGCAAGAAACTTCAAACTTTTATGTTGAGCATGACATTCTTGTCCCAAACATGGATGATGGTTTTCTACTTTAAAAGAGATGGCAGAGTATCCTGGAGAGGTACACAAATTACAAACATGAATCATTATCAGATTGAGGTGCTTTACACAGTGATAGATCTTCAGGTTTTAGAGTTGAACGATCGTTTTGATAATACCAATACGGAGTTACTTAATTTGATATCTTGTTTTGATCCAAGTAATTCGTTCTCTGCTTTTGATATAATGGCTTTGGTGAAATTAGCTGGATTTTATCCAAACGAGTTTGATGATTGTGGTCTTATCGTGCTTAAAAATCAACTTGAAAATTATATTAGAGATGTTAGAAGTGATAAATACTTTTCAAATATGGTGGGGCTAGTAGGCTTGCTGAAAAGTTGGTTGTAAAGAGAAAAAAATATTACTTATCCATCGGTGTACTTGCTATTGAAGTTGTTGTTAATTTTGTCGGTTGCAACCGCATCAGTGGAAAGGGTATTTTCTGCAATGAAGATTATCAAGTCAGAACTACGCAATCGTATGGGGGATCAATTGTTGAATGATATTTTGGTGTCGCGTGCATTAAGAAAGATATATTAGACAATGTTAGTGTCGACGAAGTGATATTTTTTTCCAAGAAATGGGACCACGTCGATAGATATTTTAGAACTTTTTATTTGTATATCAAAACAGTAGTATTTTAAAAAAGGAAAAAAAGAAAATAAATAGAGAACAAAACTCCGTAGGGCGCGTGAATTAGAAGAGGGAAGCTCAAGGGCTTATCCCCAACTTTCACCCACCCCTGCCCCATCTGCCATTACCACCTCCATTGCATACCATTAATCTTACTCACCCCTACACATCCCCACATACATTGGATATAGTCTTATATATAGTTGAGAGGGAGCGAGTTTTCAAATATATTTATAAACCAATAGGTAAAGATTCTTTATTGGATTCTCAAAATATCTACATATAAAAATGTTATAAACATGTAAAATATAATATTTTAAAGACAAACTACTTGTTTCAAAATAAATATAAATTTAAGTTTCAACATCACATTATAGAATAGGGAAAAACCACAATTGTTCATCGAAGTACAAGTTTGAATCCCTAATTTTTAAAAGCAATCCACCACTCGTAATCTTGAAGATCAATATCACTTACATCACATCATCCACCAATTTCAAATTATTGCATTCATCTTCATCAATCTCTTACACTTCATCCACTTCAACTTTCACTTCTCTCTTTAAATAATAATCATGCCATATCTATATATAATCATTAAATCATATTAAAATGATAGTATATTTTCAAAAAACAAAAAAACAAAAAAAAAACCCAAAATATAACTCTTTTCTATTTTGAGCTTCGAACTCTTTCGATAAAGATAAAATATTCATTTATGTCGATCCATAAATCATATTCAGCCCACCAAGTGTCCTCTTTTTCAGTGATCCACTCGTCATCCGATTCATTGTAACACCCCACATTTTCGAAACCCTAATCCCTAACCGAAGTCCCATAAACCTAACATCCTTACGTAAGAATTATTAGGAATTTAGCTACATGATTAACTTAATTGCTACAAGAATTTTATTTGCTTAGATTAATTAATTATTTCTATATGCCAATTTGATTATATAATTATGTACTTAAGTGGATTAATCATAGATAATTATGTACTAGATTAATTTATGTGACTTATGTGAATACATTAATCTCTGTGGTATAGTTAATTAATTCTGATTTCATGATTTTATCATAAGTATAATTACATGCATAAATTACATGCATAATACATGCATATACACGTACATGTATCCATACATATATGCATATGCTATATAAGCTATTCTACTCTAGACTACAGGTATATGAATATATAT